AATCATGTTGTGTTTTAGTTTATCATTTACAACAAGTAACTGCATTGATCATAAACACTTACCTTAAACTTTATATGCTTGTGTGCTCAAAACTTTGTTTAAGACAAGGAATTTTAAAGGGAGGAATGGTCGCTAACGTGTGTTTTACTTTATAGTGTTTATACTAGACGACCAATATTTACCGTAACTTTTTGTGCTTATATATGTTAGTAGGTACTTAGCAATGTGATTAAAAGGTTCTTTAAAATCAAGCGGTTCCAATGTGTTTCTCTTTCTCTTTCTCTTTCCAATGTGTTTCTCTATAGAACAGAGGTGAATTATGTGAGCACTGAGCATTATAGAATTTTGAACTTGAAGTTGAGCCACTGTACAGCACCGATATTCATAATCGCTAAACAGCTGTAGTAATGCCAATCTCTTAATGTCACCAACACGTCAACTAACTTTGGCTGAAGTTTGCTGCATCTTGGTATCATTAAACAAATATTATATATAACGCTGGAATTGGTTAGTTTTTTGACCTGAACGAGATCAAAATTTTTGTGAGGATACAAGTATAATAAGCAAGGAATGTTATTTAGATACTCGCTATATTTCTCACCCTCCAAGAGTTATTTGCACTGGTGTAGAGTCTAATAATAAAATGTAGTCGGCATGACCACTTAATTTTATATCAATACTTTCAACACTACTATATAACAAGTAAGTTAAACTTAAGGAAGTTGTGACAGATATATTTTAACGTTTCCGTGGGGTGGCAAGTCCCCATTCACCGCAACTTAGGAACTATTGAACTGTACAAAACTATTACAACATGAAGATAAATTCTAAATCAACAGAACTAAAAGATGAGGATTCCTACAGAGTCATTTTTCTGCTACTAATGACACGATGGTCCCCCAAAACTAAGATACCCAACAAACCCATAACCAAATTCTCGTAACCTCCTCCCAACACGACCCGCTACCTCACCCCTCCACCCCCTCCTACCCCCTCCCACCCCCCTCCCACCCCCCTTCCACCCCTTCATCCCCTTCCACCCCCTTCCACCCCCTTCCACCCCCTTCCACCCCCTTCCCACCCCCTTCCACCCCTTCCACCCCTTCCACCCCCTCCCACCCCCTCCTACCCCCTCCCACCCCCCTCCCACCCCCTTCCACCCCTTCATCCCCTTCCACCCCCTTCCACCCCCTTCCCACCCCCTTCCACCCCTTCCACCCCTTCCACCCCTTCCACCCCCTCCCACCCCCTCCTACCCCCTCCCACCCCCCTTCCACCCCTTCATCCCCTTCCACCCCCTTCCACCCCCTTCCACCCCCTTCCACCCCCTTCCACCCCCTCCCACCCCCTTCCACCCCTTCCACCCCTTCCACCCCCTTCCACCCCCTCCCACCCCCTTCCACCCCTTCCACCCCCTTCCACCCCCTTCCACCCCCTCCCACTCCCTCCCACACCCTCCCACCCCCTCCCACCCCCTCCCACCCCCTCCCACCCCCTCCAAACCCCTCCCAACCCACTCTTACCTTCTAAACTCAGTGAACGCCGAGCGCAACGATCATTGATAAATTTTGCCCCCTTCCTTGCACAACTGAAGCTCAGAATTGTGTCTAGATGCACTTATTAATTCTCAGTTGTAACCAAAATTTCATGCCCTCTAAACATATCAACAGAAACTTCGAGTTTGTTCCAGAACTATCATGAACTTTAAGAAATATCAATCTGAGCGTTGGTTGCACGATCGTTATGATACTAAATACTAAAGTATTAAGCGCCGTACACTGGTGACTGAACCACTTTTTAGTCTTTAGTACAGTTTTTCCGTTTTGTGTAAATTAAACTGGATGACAACGTTCAGGTGAATCTAAAATGTCTCTGTAAATCTGTAATTCCCGGCTCATTTTTGAATCATCAGTAATTTGTCAATGTTCATTTTTTGGAAATGAATACAACAGGTATTGATGATAAGATACACATTGAAGCTGTCGATAAAGTGCAGTTATTATGAGATTTTTGTCCTAATTTCCCTATTCTCACGGACACCCTTAATTCTTATTTTTACTGTCCATTATATTACATATATATGTATATATTACGCAGACACACGTAAATATTATGTACTTAATTTTCATTCAGGACATTACGCATTTTATGCTATAATCAAATTAGAACTAGAAAAAATGACTACCTAATCGGCAATTTTAAATCAACTTTATCAGCTGATTTGCTACTAAATAACTTTATCAGTTAATTTGCTTCTAAATAGTTTGTTCAGCTGAACTGCGACATGATTTGTGTGCTTGTCAAAGTCTTCAACTATAAAGTCATGTGTCTTCAACAAATAAACCGCTGCTCCAATAATAGATGTCATCATGTATACCGGTTATGACGCGGATTTGCTGAGGTTGTTGAGTGTGGTTGCTACTTATCATTTTGTAAGATTTCAATTTCATTTTATCTCTCACAGTGGTCTCTTTTTGTGTATCTCGCTGGTAGTATTATCTTTGTATGTGTGATATGATGAAAGAAGCTGTATTTTATCGAATATCATAATGATTAAATTAAATGGATTGGCATCTCCAGGTCAACGTCAGATTGAAATCTTTAATTGTTTTACTGTTGTTTGTTTTGATCTACACTTGACTTTGTTGGCAAGAAATATGCCGACTGGCGTTAAAAACGACAGTAATAAGTTTTAAAACCGTATAATTAAGTTGTGATGATGAAACAATACGAGGGCTGTAATGACGCTATAAGCTCAGGTTACTGGCCCTTTGATAGAGAATATAGCCTGATGTAATAATACAATTTACCTTGCATGTTTTTGTTGTGCTTTCAGCTGGAGAACCTATTTATTTCAGGCCGAGCTAATACCCCTTCCAAATGTAGTACGTAGGATAATGATATGGGTTAAATTTATACTAATGATTACTGCTTGTTTTAAACCTTACTTCCCGTAGAAATCCTCTTTACTTGATAAAACCGCATTTAGGCATTGATCACAACATTGATATAAGTAAACGTGAAGAGGGTGATTCTGGCGATTAAAAGGAACCCTCGCCAGCTGCCCAAAATACCTGAGCGCATCGCGGCTCAGAGAGGATCAACCAATGAATCTGGAAGGAGAGCTGAAAGAAACCGTTCCTGTTTAAGTAAGTACAGTTATTAAGTTATTTCACAGTAAGTAGGTTATTTCACATATACTATTCTCAATTCCACGGAACGCATTACTTTGATTTGATTTAATTTAGTTTTAATTTCCATGCTATGTACTTGTGATACCGTACGTCAACGTGCTTTGCCGATCAATGTTGTAACGTTATTTGTCATTTCATTATGCAAAGATTAAAAGCCATTGTGCTTCACGCTTGATTGGTTCTGGAAACAATTGTTATACTCTTTCAGTCAGCTAGCACATAACCCTCAGCTGACTGCACTCCGAGAATAAATAAAAAAACCGACTTTATAAATAATAACTGCAGCGCTTTTTAATACTTTAACCTCCATTGACCTGCATTTTAAATCACAAGTTGCTTCCAATTGTGATGTTGCTTGTCCATTCTTTTCATTTATACGTCTGAGTCATTATTTGCTTACTTCTGCGGGTGTCTGCTTTTGTAGCCATCTGCCACCCTAATGATAATATTTACTGGTTTTAAATCCGTCAGTCATATCCAGCCTCCCTTATTACACCTCCCCCGCCGCCGGCTAGTTGGACGCCATGTGTTTTTTACCATTCGGTTCTCTTACTTTTACTGACTGTAAGTGTAGGCGAAAAAATGGTTATGCTCTGCTTTTTTGATCAAATTGAATTTGCTGATCTTGACAGCACGACATGTCTTCAATTGTTTTATTTTTCTATAATTGATTTTTAACAATGGTTCTGATCAGAGTTGCTTGTCTTGCCATTATAACCATGCTTCTTGCCAACAACCATTATGCTGCTCCATTTGGGAGTCTTTAGAATACACCAGTCATTACCGTAGCTTTAAAAATACCCATGCTTATCTACCGGATACCACCTTTAGTCCTCGCTCTGATGGCAAGCTTTCAATTGAAAACAAGCATACATACTACATAGCTCCGCTTCATGACCGCAGAAAACTGTATCTATAATCTGAAATTATTGAAAGGAGTGCAAGTGCGCTGCCTTTCCAACCGCAAACTTAATAGTCTGGATACTGTTTGGCGTCTTTGTGGAGCGGGGATTGAGGGGGAGAGTTTACAATTCACTATACTTAAAGTACCACAGAGCTTTATATTAAAAATAATCGTAAATTATTTTAAATTTACTTTTTTGTCGCAGATGTTTTCAAATTGAACTTGAAGGGCGACATACTGTATTGTTGGTAGATAAGCTATCAGGCTAAGTTCAAATTAAATTTTGTGTTTATCTTAATTCTTCGTATTGCTCAGTCGATCGATGAAGATGATTCCAGTGCCCTCAATATTAAAATATTAAAGATCCATCCTCAAGCAGGAACCAGGCTGTACAAGGCTCCATTCATTTAACCGATCGTGTAGTTTGTAAGAGTATATAGAGCTTGTCTCATGTCTCATGTCTGCCGACACGATTTTCACGAACATCGCCATAAGTATTCACGTTGTATCTTCGGTCTCGATTGCACGCAATTGCACATGTACAACGGTTCGGCCAGCCCAGTTGCTTATCAAGCAATCCAATCTCAACAACTCACTTCTTCGATTTTAGAGTTTCGATTGCAGAACTTCCCAAACCCACCTTTAGATAACAGCCACTATTGTTTTTCCTCTCAACCCTCTCCCCCTACGCACACCTCTTACAATTAGTACTGACACGTTTTCGATCAATGAACAATTAGTTTTAAATTGTTCGAGACAAATTCCAGCACTTCATTAACTCATCCGAGTAAATAGTTTTTTTAACAGTTGTGCTTGATGGTCACAACGTCTTGTTATCTGGCGTATCAAGAAAACGATTTTGTAAAATTACAAGTTGTGAGTTTTAAAAAGCTTTCTTCAGTTGTCAGTTGCCCGTTTGGTGTATGTACCATGTTTACTGTGGGGTACTCCGCAAGCAATCCTTGTGGGTATCAGCCCTCGCGGACCAACATCAAATTCTTTTCGTCCATGCCGAAGAAAGTTAAACCTAAAGGTTTTTACATCTAAAACTAGCCATGATTTGCATGATATAAAGATTTTATGTCAAGCAAGATTTTATTTCTACATGTGTAAATATCTATTTTTTTGAATGTAAAATTTAAAAGCTTTACCAGAAGGTTCGCCCATGAAATAATAATTTGGTTTTATTTCGAGATGTGTGAATATGTATTTTTTGTAAATTTAAAAGCCTAACAATAAAATACGTTTTTTTAGAAACAAACTTTCAAAAGGCTCAATTTCAGGTTCAGTCTCGGAGACAGAAACAGCAGAGAACAGACAAGAACATTCCCACAACAAACTCCCACCCCTTACAAAACTAACTGAAGCTAAATCACCGTGGCACCGTGAATCATCACCCTGGCTACAAGATTCACCACAATGGCAACAATCCTTCTCCCCCTGGCAAAACGACCAGGCTAAGTCGCACAGCAGGACAGGCTTCTACCAGACACCAGTCCAAGATCACTTGAAAAGCAGCAAATCAAGCAGAAATAAAGCGGTTGTAAGTTTAGCAGGGAACCTCACATCCTCAGCACCCAACTCGTTGTATACCTGCTCGAATAACCAATCTGGAGATAACCACATGAGGAAAGTGTCCATATCTACCCCGGTCCTAGACTGTCTTGCAGAGCGTAAACCCTCGAGAGGTCAACTCCAGGGTTGCAGGACTGCTCCTGGCAGGAACAGAGATCCTAATAGAACTTATCTGTTCTGTCCCCAGAGGCAAATATCAGAGGATTTACAGACAGACTTTTATCTAACTTCTCTTGATACTGACGAAGAGGAGACATTGGATGCAGTGGGCGGGATTGAGGATTACAAACACTTAGCCATACGAAATCCTAATGGTAGAACTGAACTTGATCTGCAGCAGGTGTACGACAGAACTTACAGACCATCTTTGAAACTCCCCAAGTGTGATAGTGCTTTATTAACAACTATTAAGCCTCAGTTTATCAACAATAATTGTGCTAACCAACAGTCTCCCGCGCATAAGGTTTGAGTTATACCACATCTCCGCAAGCAATCCTCGCGCGCGTGCGCCGGGTCTGCTTGACATTAGTTTTGAGTATTTTATATTTTCATTATAGTTGACTTAAACAAGGAATTAGTTTGCTTTCGGAAATAAAAAGTGTGGCATCTTAATGCAAACCATCTACACACGTCAAAAAAGCCAGACTGAGTAGATAACCAAACCTTTCCTTAAAAGGTAATGTTACACTACCTTATAAGGAACTATTACCATAGTAACACTACCAAACCTTTCATCATCAGAAAGTAACTGCGGCAGAACACAGCAATTTATCATGCCAAAGTTCAGACAGTAGTACTGACCTTAAGAGTGCAAGTGAAGGTACGTGACAAACATAAACCATCAAATGAAATCCTAACCAGGCTATATTCAGACAAATCATAGCTGTTCTTCCGAACCAAATCATGTTTTGGTCATAACAACTTCTTTTGTTTTTTAAATCTCCACAATAATTTATATGGGGAGGGAGGCGATGACATATGGCACATTTAACAGCTCTCCCTGCCAGCTAGTTTGTTTATCCTTCTTGTCTCTACTCTCAGCCGTTTTTGCTAATTACGAATTAAATTACTACCCAAATATAGGTGTTCAATAAAAAATACAATCAACATTTGAACCACTTATACATTGTGTACCGTTGCAGCTGTGGTAACTATCCACTGTTTCAGAAGGTCAGGAAGGGAAGAGGGTGCGGTTTATCTCGCCAGCCAAATGCAGCCCCACCAAGAAGCAGTCCACAGATAGAAACATGTCCTGGCTGTCCTACAAACTACCTTCTGGCTCCTCTTGGGGATTTAGGAAATACCGGACATTTGATTAATTGTACATAGCTTCTGGCTCCTCCTGGGGATTTAGGAAATACCGGACATTTGATTAATTGTACATAGCTTCTGGCTCCTCTTGGGGATTTAGAAAATACCGGACATTTGATTAATTGTACATAGCTTGTTTTAAGTTTCGAAATAGCACATCTACCTCTTATGGTGAGCTGTTTCAATGACAAATTTACATTTCAATTGTATTAATTAGACTGTTTAATTCAGTTTTAGAACTACTTTTTAGAAACTTGATGCGTCTCACTTTGTTACATTACCCAGCATAATAAACACTGCAATTCAGTCAACATATGAAGTTATACCTGATCTTTGCAATTGGTTGTTCCGGTTGTGAAAGCTCGTAACTTCTGAAGTATACAATTTACTTGTCTCCTTCATAATATGCGTCGTTGCAACAAAATAACACGTGTTTTACAAGTGCATAGTGCGCGGCATTACCGTGTCCGGCATTACCGTGTCCGCTTGTAACGCTACGTGCAGCCGGTCAAGTTCAATTAGCAGCACAAAATTCGTCGGTCACATATTACATCTAATTCTCTGTTATTCTGTCATATGACGCACCGTATGCTGGCCGGAAAGAGCCGTTAATTATTATTCCTAGTTCGTCTGTAGAACGTTACATCTCATACACCCAGCTTGAACGTCAACTCATCAAATGGTCGCACTTGCGGATACATTTTAAAAGGTGTCAGCAGCAGCATCTCACTCTTTTGATCGGCGTAACGTTGTCGATATTGTTGTAGTTGAAGTGCGCTGAAAACAGGGTTTTTGTTGTTGCTCTCTTGTAAGTTATTACCGGTTTGTTGACATGACCTTTACGAGTAGAGATCGACCCAGCAGACTGTCGATCACCTCCGACCTTAAAGACAGCCTGCTCACGAACGAGAGAGCGTCGTCTCGATCTTTAGTGTCTCAAATGCAAAAGGTTACTGTTTGTTTAGTGCTGCTATACTTTGTATTGACAGACAAGTTGTCTGTTTGGTTTATTTTCCTTCTGAATCTGATACTTGGCTCGTTAATTTTCCATTGCATATTTTAAATTCTCGATAAATCCGATTACTGAAGTTATACATCCCTCCAACACCCTCAAAAAGTTGTACATTTAATGTATGGTTTGAGGCTTGAACTCTATTTTTACTTTTAATAGATACACCCTCAAAAAGTTGTACATTTAATGTATGGTTTGAGGCTTGAACTCTATTTTTACTTTTAATAGATACACCCTCAAAAAGTTGTACATTTAATGTATGGTTTGAGGCTTGAACTCTATTTTTACTTTTAATCGGCTCTGATGTGAAAATAATTAGGGCCACAAAAACTTATGGCCGTTTACAATTTTGTGTCGATAATATGGTCCTCCCTAAATTATTGAAATTTTTGACTTCACTATTTTAGTAACTATGGTAACTAGTAGTGTTACTATGGTATTTAGTATTGCATTCTTGCAATTAACTATCATCAAATATAGAGTTTTAGATATCGTTCAAATAAATTTCACATTTTAAAAATGAATAGCACTAGCAATTACTAATCACTGGTTCCGTTACTTTAACTATCAAGGATGCGACTGAATTAATTGTTGAATAATGAATATGATATGACTGTTAACTGTGGCTAATAGCATAAGCAATCTTGTTTTATTTTGAGATTGTCATATAAATAAATGATTTATTAAATCGTTGCCAGGAATTGGAAGATTTGAAAGCAAGCACAAAAAGGGAAACACAGAGAGTTCGGAATGTAAAAAGAAAGATGGAGCTAGCTGAACAGAAGACAGATCGGCTGCAAAATGTTAGTTTTTATAAAGGAGCAGGAGAAAATGTTAGTTTTAGTGGACTCGATACGAAGTAATATCCTGCAACCAATTATAATTCATTCAGTTTGTTTACGATAAATAAATAGTTTGTATAAGTGTAATTTGTATGCCTTCCTCATTTGAAGTTTAATTTTTTCCAAAGTGTTAATTGATTAATAATGCAGTCTCTACTTTATTTTGTAATGTAAAGTGTATACTTATGGCTATGCTTTTCGATTAATGTATAAGTTATAAACGATACAAATGAAATATGTCAAAAAGAAGATACCAAACTCTCAAGTATTATTTACCAAAGTATTAATATTCATTTCGTGAGAATACTGAGGATTTTACATGTGAAAATAATAGTAGGGTTTTTTTAATGGGTCAAGTTTTGTTATTGTTCCCGCGTTAAAATTTTCTTATTTTTACATTATGAATGTATTCAAGTTATACGTCAAAAGTTCCCTTTGATTTTTTAAATATAATCGTCATCTCCACGATTACTAACATTATATTCCATCCCAGGAGCAGCACAGATTAGTGATGAAGGTAGCGAGTTTAACCTCGGACATGAAGATCCTGAGGAGTCAGGAGGAGAATAACGAGTGGCTGGTGGCCACCAACAACAACCTCCAGGCTATTGTGGAGAAGCTAACCAAAAGGCAGACTTAGAACTGTTTACCAGGGAATTCCTAAATTGATTTGACTCGCCCGGGCATTTTGCGCTGTCTAGATTTTAAATTGATTTTTGTCCATTTGTCGCGACCAGACGACCGCAGTTGTCACCAATGTCATGTCCACATGTGAGCAAATGTTGTCCTTCAATCTGACGACAGTAACCAGTTCTCTGTCTCGCTCACATAGTCAGCAAAGCTTTTCACAGACGTGCACTTATAGAGGGTCGGTGTAACTGTGCTCTGTAATTACCATTTGACAGCTAACAGCTGGCATATTTGGCATCAGACCTCGCGGAGTGTCGGTAATGTCATCGAGCAACCAACGTCACTGTGCGTCACATATTATAGCTCTGCGCTAAAGCGGTCTTATTTAGCATAATTTGAGATATCGATGTTGTGAAATGTATTTATTGTATTTATTCAAACTCAAAAACTTGAGAACATTTAATTTAAGATTTGCTTTCTAGATAATATATAACATTCGAATAAAGTTTAACGTGGTATAAATTGTTTAGTGTGTGCGCCTACCGGCGCCTGGAAATTCAGAGACTAAAAGAATTTATAGGGTGAACACGTACGACCTAACATTTTGCTAAATAGTACGAATTTTTTAGGTTAAACTAAAAATTTGAAAGGTATTTTATCAGCAAATTTTGACATTAGTTTAGAACGTTGTAGAGCTTAAATTTGAGGATTACTGCAATAGTCCAATTTGGATAACAACTGTGTTGATTTGAACCAAATCGTGTGGACTGTGGAGGTGACCTAACATATTATTATTACTGTATATACTGCATTATTTTTTCAAAGCCTTCCGTGATAATTGGACGAAAATCACACAGCACTTAGCATAAATTGATGAGGGTTTAATTAACGGATACAGTTATTTGATTTTCATGTGTCACATGATAATCTATAGACTTTCGTACTGTGCTGACATTTTCGGATATCTTGATCGCTTTAAACCTCAATATTACCGTCAAACTACAAAGTTAACTAATAAGTGATACTTAAAATAAATTCAATGCTGAAATCTAGAAACAAATTATAGTCTAAAGAAGCATTTTAATTTATCATTTTCAATGGTCGAATAATTATCCATTTTGTTCACTACTCCGTAAATTTTCCTTTTGCCGGTAAGTGAGCCTTTGGATTGGGACGAAAATTTGCTTGGCTTATGTGTGAGCCTGTTGATTGAGACTAAATTTGCTTGGCTAACAGTTTAAAGTCATCGTTTATTAATGGTATTTATAGAATGGCATAATAACAGCCTTGGCTAATCACTGAGGGGGTCAAGCGATAATTAAATTTCATAACAATATTATATTAATATAGCGGTTAACTTCCTTCATATTATTATTGATTTGTCGGCATTTTTAAGATCTCGTTATTTTAAAGTTTGATGTTGAAACATGGCGTTTAGTTTCAATGGCTTCAATGGTGCAGCTCAAGGTGGAAGCTTCAGCTCTGGGCAAGGCGTGGGTCTGGCAGCCGGCCAAGCAGCAAGATTTGGGGCCGCAGCCCAAGCTCGAGGACTCGGTGCTAATGTGAACATACAGATGACAAGGCCAGCACCCTTGACAATGCCTGTACCGAACATAGCGTTACAACCTAACCGTGCTCAAGTATTCAATCCTTCAGTTCTTTACAGCGTATTCATCCCAGAGATGGGACGGGACCAGACTGTCTCCGGGGCACTTATCCGACCCAACATGGCAAACCCTGCAACTGTTATTATTACTCTTAATAGTAGGAATTATGTTGGAGCCAATGTCAGACCTGTTCCCGTAGCCAGTAATGGGTGCCCAGGCGCACCCAGCAGTCCTGGTGTCCATTGTAGAGGCTGTGTATCTAGCCCACTCTTCGGGAAGCCAGCCACTCCCGAACCAGCCACTCCAGAAGGCAACGGAAGGTGTCCTATTTGTGGAGCACTTCTTTTACCTGGAGGGCCTGGTGGGCCAGGTGGTCCAGGTGGTCCAGGTGGTCCAGGTGGTCCAGGTGGACCCGGCCAGCACGGATCAGGATGCCCATTAGGTCTTGGTGGACCAGGAGGACCTGGGGGATCAGGTGGACCTGGGGGTCCAGGAGGACATGGTCCCGGATGTCCATACTCACCTAATGGACCAGGTGGACCAGGTGGACCAGGAGGCCCTGGTGGACCTGGAAGTAATAGCCGATGTCCACTTTGTACAGCTTCTCTTCTTCCAAGTGCTGGTGGACCAGGAGGCCCTGGAGGTCCTGGAGGGGACAACCCTTACGGCCCCGGAGATCCAACAGGACCAGGTGGACCGGGAGGACCGGGAGGCCCTGGTGGACCTGGAAGTAATAGCCGATGTCCACTTTGTACAGCTTCTCTTCTTCCAAGTGCTGGTGTACCAGGAGGCCTTGGAGGTCCTGGAGGGGACAACCCTTACGGCCCCGGAGATCCAAGAGGACCAAGTGGACCGGGAGGACCGGGAGGACCTGGTGGACCTGGTGGACCAGGAGGTGATAGCCGGTGTACTCTTTGTACAGCCTCTCTTCTTCCAAATGCTGGTGGACCAGGAGGCCCTGGAGGTCCTGGAGGTCCTGGAGGTACTCCTAAAGAGGACAGCCCTTACGGCCCCGGTGATCCAAGAGGACCAGGTGGACCGGGAGGCCCTGGTGGACCAGGTGGACCAAGTGGTCCCGGTGGACATAATCCAGGGTGTCCGTACAGTCCAAATGGCCCAGGAGGACCGGGAGGTCCAGGGGGTCCTGGTGGACCAGGGTGTCCGTACAGTCCAAATGGCCCAGGGGGTCCGGGAGGTCCTGGTGGACCCGGCGGGAACCCTGATCCGAACAGTGGATACGTAATAACCGTTAATGGACTAATAACCCACCATCCACTTTGTCCAAATAGCCCAATAACCATTGATATTAATGGCAACTCAAACGTTAGTAGTCCAACTTGGTCAAGTCCTGGTGAAATTACTTTAAGCCCAGGAGGTCCCGGTGGGCCAGGAGGTCCCGGTGGGCCAGGAGGTCCCGGTGGGCCAGGAGGTCCCGGTGGGCATGATCCTAGATGCCCCTACAGTCCAAACGGTCCAGGAGGACCTGGTGGTCCAGGAGGTCCTGGTGGGCCAGGAGGTCCCGGTGAACATGATCCTAGATGCCCCAACAGTCCTAACGGCCCAGGAGGTCCCGGTGGCCCAGGAGGTCCCGGTGGGCCTGGTGGTCCCGGTGGGTCAGGTGGTCCAGGAGGGGACAACCCTTACGGCCCCGGTGATCCAAGAGGACCAGGTGGTCCAGGAGGTCCTGGTGGGCCAGGAGGTCCCGGTGGGCATGATCCTAGATGCCCCTACAGTCCAAACGGTCCAGGAGGACCTGGTGGTCCAGGAGGTCCTGGTGGGCCAGGAGGTCCCGGTGAACATAATCCTAGATGCCCCAACAGTCCTAACGGCCCAGGAGGACCCGGTGGGCCAGGAGGTCCCGGTGGGCCAGGTGGTCCAGGAGGGGACAACCCTTACGGCCCTGGTGATCCAAGAGGACCAGGTGGTCCAGGAGGTCCTGGTGGGCCAGGAGGTCCCGGTGGGCATGATCCTAGATGCCCCTACAGTCCAAACGGTCCAGGAGGACCTGGTGGTCCAGGAGGTCCCGGTGGGCCTGGTGGTCCCGGTGGGCCAGGTGGTCCAGGAGGGGACAACCCTTACGGCCCCGGTGATTCAAGAGGACCAGGTGGTCCAGGAGGTCCTGGTGGGCCAGGAGGTCCCGGTGGGCATGATCCTAGATGCCCCTACAGTCCAAACGGTCCAGGAGGACCTGGTGGTCCAGGAGGTCCTGGTGGGCCAGGAGGTCCCGGTGAACATGATCCTAGATGCCCCAACAGTCCTAACGGCCCAGGAGGTCCCGGTGGCCCAGGAGGTCCCGGTGGGCCTGGTGGTCCCGGTGGGTCAGGTGGTCCAGGAGGGGACAACCCTTACGGCCCCGGTGATCCAAGAGGACCAGGTGGTCCAGGAGGTCCTGGTGGGCCAGGAGGTCCCGGTGGGCATGATCCTAGATGCCCCTACAGTCCAAACGGTCCAGGAGGACCTGGTGGTCCAGGAGGTCCTGGTGGGCCAGGAGGTCCCGGTGAACATAATCCTAGATGCCCCAACAGTCCTAACGGCCCAGGAGGACCCGGTGGGCCAGGAGGTCCCGGTGGGCCAGGTGGTCCAGGAGGGGACAACCCTTACGGCCCTGGTGATCCAAGAGGACCAGGTGGTCCAGGAGGTCCTGGTGGGCCAGGAGGTCCCGGTGGGCATGATCCTAGATGCCCCTACAGTCCAAACGGTCCAGGAGGACCTGGTGGTCCAGGAGGTCCCGGTGGGCCTGGTGGTCCCGGTGGGCCAGGTGGTCCAGGAGGGGACAACCCTTACGGCCCCGGTGATTCAAGAGGACCAGGTGGTCCAGGAGGTCCTGGTGGGCCAGGAGGTCCCGGTGGGCATGATCCTAGATGCCCCTACAGTCCAAACGGTCCAGGAGGACCTGGTGGTCCAGGAGGTCCTGGTGGGCCAGGAGGTCCCGGTGAACATGATCCTAGATGCCCCAACAGTCCTAACGGCCCAGGAGGACCCGGTGGGCCAGGAGGTCCCGGTGGGCCAGGTGGTCCAGGAGGGAACAACCCTTACGGCCCCGGTGATCCAAGAGGACCAGGTGGTCCAGGAGGTCCTGGTGGGCCAGGAGGTCCCGGTGGGCATGATCCTAGATGCCCCTACAGTCCAAACGGTCCAGGAGGACCTGGTGGGCCAGGAGGTCCTGGTGGGCCAGGAGGTCCCGGTGAACATGATCCTAGATGCCCCAACAGTCCTAACGGCCCAGGTGGACCTGGAGGTCCTGGTGGACCAGGAGGACCTGGTGGTATATGGCCTCACAGTCCAGAAGATTGCCCTTACAGTCCTGGAGGTCCAGGAGGTCAAGGTGGGCCAGGAGGACCAGGAGGTCCAGGAGGAGTCAATCCTTATGGTCCTGGTGATCCAAGAGGTCCAGGTGGACCTGGAGGTCCTGGTGGACCAGGAGGACCTGGTGGAATCGGGCCTCACAGTCCAGAAGATTGCCCTTACAGTCCTGGAGGTCCAGGAGGTCCAGGTGGGCCAGGAGGACCAGGAGGACCAGGAGGAGTCAATCCTTATGGTCCTGGTGATCCAAGAGGTCCAGGTGGACCTGGAGGTCCTGGTGGACCAGGAGGACCTGGTGGTATAGGGCCTCACAGTCCAGAAGATTGCCCTTACAGTCCTGGAGGTCCAGGAGGTCCAGGTGGGCCAGGAGGACCAGGAGGACCAGGAGGAGTCAATCCTTATGGTCCTGGTGATCCAAGAGGTCCAGGTGGACCTGGAGGTCCTGGTGGACCAGGAGGACCTGGTGGTATAGGGCCTCACAGTCCAGACGATTGCCCTTACAGTCCTGGAGGTCCAGGAGGTCCAGGAGGTCCAGGTGGGCCAGGAGGACCAGGAGGAGTCAATCCTTATGGTCCTGGTGATCCAAGAGGTCCAGGTGGACCTGGAGGTCCTGGTGGACCAGGAGGACCTGGTGGTATAGGGCCTCACAGTCCATACGATTGCCCTTACAGTCCTGGAGGTCCAGGAGGTCCAGGTGGGCCAGGAGGACCAGGAGGAGTCAATCCTTATGGTCCTGGTGATCCAAGAGGTCCAGGTGGACCTGGAGGTCCTGGTGGACCAGGAGGACCTGGTGGTATAGGGCCTCACAGTCCAGACGATTGCCCTTACAGTCCTGGAGGTCCAGGTGGGCCAGGAGGACCAGGAGGTCCAGGAGGAGTCAATCCTTATGGTCCTGGTGATCCAAGAGGTCCAGGTGGACCTGGAGGTCCTGGTGGACCAGGAGGACCTGGTGGTATAGGGCCTCACAGTCCAGACGATTGCCCTTACAGTCCTGGAGGTCCAGGTGGGCCAGGAGGTCCAGGAGGAATCAATCCTTATGGTCCTGGTGATCCAAGAGGTCCAGGTGGACCTGGGGGTCCTGGTGGACCAGGAGGACCTGGTGGTATAGGGCCTCACAGTCCAGAAAATTGCCCTTACAGTCCTGAAGGTCCAGGAGGTCCTGGAGGGCCAGGAGGACCAGGAGGACCAGGAGGAGTTAATCCTTATGGTCCTGGTGATCCAAGAGGTCCAGGTGGACCTGGGGGTCCTGGTGGACCAGGAGGACCTGGTGGTATAGGGCCTCACAGTCCAGAAGATTGCCCTTACAGTCCTGGAGGTCCAGGAGGTCCAGGAGGTCCAGGTGGGCCAGGAGGACCAGGAGGAGTCAATCCTTATGGTCCTGGTGATCCAAGAGGTCCAGGTGGACCTGGAGGTCCTGGTGGACCAGGAGGACCTGGTGGTATAGGGCCTCACAGTCCATACGATTGCCCTTACAGTCCTGGAGGTCCAGGAGGTCCAGGTGGGCCAGGAGGACCAGGAGGAGTCAATCCTTATGGTCCTGGTGATCCAAGAGGTCCAGGTGGACCTGGAGGTCCTGGTGGACCAGGAGGACCTGGTGGTATAGGGCCTCACAGTCCAGACGATTGCCCTTACAGTCCTGGAGGTCCAGGTGGGCCAGGAGGACCAGGAGGTCCAGGAGGAGTCAATCCTTATGGTCCTGGTGATCCAAGAGGTCCAGGTGGACCTGGAGGTCCTGGTGGACCAGGAGGACCTGGTGGTATAGGGCCTCACAGTCCAGACGATTGCCCTTACAGTCCTGGAGGTCCAGGTGGGCCAGGAGGTCCAGGAGAAACCAATCCTTATGGTCCTGGTGATCCAAGAGGTCCAGGTGGACCTGGGGGTCCTGGTGGACCAGGAGGACCTGGTGGTATAGGGCCTCACAGTCCAGAAAATTGCCCTTACAGTCCTGAAGGTCCAGGAGGTCCTGGAGGGCCAGGAGGACCAGGAGGACCAGGAGGAGTTAATCCTTATGGTCCTGGTGATCCAAGAGGTCCAGGTGGACCTGGGGGTCCTGGTGGACCAGGAGGACCTGGTGGTATAGGGCCTCACAGTCCAGAAGATTGCCCTTACAGTCCTGGAGGTCCAGGAGGTCCAGGTGGGCCAGGAGGACCAGGAGGTCCAGGAGGAGTCAATCCTTATGGTCCTGGTGGGCCAGGAGGTCCCAGTGAACATGATCCTAGATGCCCCAACAGTCCTAACGGCCCAGGAGGACCCGGTGGGCCAGGAGGGCCAGGTGGTCCAGGAGGTCCTGGTGGGCATGATCCTAGACGCCCCTACAGTCCAAACGGTCCAGGAGGACCTGGTGGTCCAGGTGGTCCTGGAGGGGACAATCCTTACGGCCCCGGTGATCCAAGAGGACCAGGTGGTCCAGGAGGTCCTGGTGGTCCAGGAGGTCCTGGTGGGCCAGGGGGCCCTGGAGGTCCCGGTGGACATGACCCAAGATGCCCTTACAGTCCAAATGGCCCAGGAGGTCCTGGAGGCCCTGGGGGAAAAGGAGGTCCTGGTGGGCATGACCCAAGATGTCCTTATAGTCCGTCAGGTGCTGGAGGACCTGGAGGGCCTGGCGGTCCCGGTGGATCCGGCGGTCCTGGTGGACATGACCCAAGATGCCCTTACAGTCCAAACGGACTTGGGGGGCCAGGTGGACCAGGTGGACCAGGTGGACCAGGTGGACCAGGTGGACCAGGTGGACCAGGTGGTCCTGGAAGTAAGTGCCCGTGTTTTGAGCACTGCATTTGTGGACCAAAGTGCCCTTACTGTAACCCAGAAGGCGATGATGATTCTGATCCAAACTATACGTCTTCAGATGATAGTTCAGATGAAGATGACTGTCCTTACAAGTTGGTATATCCTACCGCTCGACAGAAGCCACTACCAGATTCACTGTCAAATGTTTTACTGCCTAGAGGCACTAGACATTTCCCTCTTTACGTTCTCTTCAACCCTGACAAGTCTCTAAAACCAGGATTCGACCCAATAGCCGACGACAAACGACCAATTGTGGTTCTTCCAAGCTCTATGATGAACCCACCCGCAGGTGCTCCTAAAACCAGACCCTCGTACGTGATAAACGGAACCCCGATATATCCACATAAGTTCTATACCATCACGATTGAAGAAATAACCCGAATAGTACCAGGCAGACATTTCAGAAGGCGCAAGCTCCCCAAAAGAGGGTACTCTGTGAAAGTAAATGGGTTGAGGAGACCAATAAGCACTACTGTAGTGATTGTACAAGTTGAGGTGAGTCAACCAAGGCCGGGAGACGGGCCATGCCCTGGTTGTGCACAGCCTCCTCATTGTCAGATGCCTCAACCACCTGCACCTGCACCAGCTCCTGCCGGCTCTCCGCCAGGATCCCCGATTAGATCTCCATTGGGATCGCCCATCAGGTCACCGGTAGGATCACCAGCGGCCCCTAACAGGTCAACGATTTCAGTAACTATAAGCGGACAGCCACAGCAAGTTCTCCCAGAAAATGTTAGGCCGTCCAGAAGCCGTCCGGGTTTTAGCGTGGTAAGGGTCAATGGTGGAAGACATATGGTTCCTAACACCCTGTTATCCTTCTCACCAAACGCGCCTGCTCCTGCTGGACTTTTTAGACCGGCTAGAAATCCAATGGCACAACCTGCGGCTAATCTCAACCCCGGAATGTTCAAACCTGCGATAAACCCGATGGCACAACCTCGACCTGCAGCTAATCTCAACCCCGGAATGTTCAAACCTGCGATAAACCCGATGGCACAACCTCGACCTGCTGCTAACCTCAACCCCGGAATGTTCAAACCTGCGATAAACCCGATGGCACAACCTCGACCTGCTGCTAACCTCAACCCCGGAATGTTCAAACCTGCGATAAACCCGATGGCACAACCTCGACCTGCTGCTAACCTCAACCCCGGAATGTTCAAACCTGCGATAAACCCGATGGCGCAACCTCGACCTGCAGTGAACATTAACGCTGGTAACGCTGGTATGTTCAACCCAGCCCCCAATCCCATGGTACAGCAACAAGGATACAGACCAGCCGTTAACCCTGTGGCTAACCGAGTGGGAGTTTCTGTGAACGCAGGTGCAGTTAATCCTGGATTTGCAGCTAGAAACGTCGGATTTGGAGCAGGTGTAGTTAATCCTGGAGTTGCAGCTAGAAACGTCGGATTTGGAGCAGGTGCAGCAAATGCCGGATTTGGAGCAGTTAATGCAAGAATGAACGGAGCAAGCAGTGCAGCCAGTAGTTATGGAGCTCCTTCTATGGGCGGATTCGGGACAGCCTTCAACAATCTACAGAGATATTAGGGACAATTATAAACTTAATTTAGCTGGTATTAGCGAATAGTGACTGAGATATTATTTATAGTAACTATTTGTACCGTTAGAGTTAGACAGGGCGATGTGGTAAAAAGTTAATGGTTTTTGGAAATTGTATTGTTTTGTTTACTATTTGTAAATTGAGTTGATTTTTTGTTTCAAAAGATCACCCGAGTAATTATTTGGTAAGCTTTGTGATCCATTTATTTTAAATACAAGTAATACAACTGGATAACAACTTTAGCTTTAGCAACAAAACTGTTTAGATACAATACAAATATTGAACAAAAATACTCAAAATTAACAACATTATCATTGAAAACGTTCATTATTTAAAGCACTTTAATTCGCACAATTAACCAATTATGAGACAATTACACGCTAAAATAATTGAGTATATTACAGTTTCTACCTACTGTGTAGTTTACACAGTAAACATTTATAAGTTTTAATATCCTAGCAAACTACCAGTACTACACAACCAAACTACCAGTACTACACAACCAAACTAACAGTACTACACAACCAAACTACCAGTACTACACAACCAAGCTTTAAGTCATGGTTTAACAACCATCGGTACAAAATAAGTGATCAAAGTAAAATCAGTATAATCTAGTTTATCTCAACACAGTCAAACACCAATAAGTATAAATTACCTGTCATCAGCCAAAGCTATTGAAAATAATCAAGATAATTAGGAAAGAAAAATCATACAGAATCCTCCATATAGATACATCACAATATGAAAACTATTTGAAGTTCACCATGTCCCGATTATTATGACCTTCCCATCAGTGTTACTGGCGTCTGGCTTGTATGGAAGTACCGAGAGAAGCAGAACCATCCTCAGGGTTTATCAAGGTCTCGTGACCATCTCTGCCGCGTGTCAGCCACCACTGCTCCACTTTTAGTAACGCTGAAAGGATGATAAGGTGTTATTACGGTGTCTGACTAAGTTTAGCAGTGTTGTTATTTAATATACTGATCTGACTAAGTGTAGCAGTGTTGTTATTTAATATACTGATCTGACTAAGGAAGAACAACGTTTTTTCGTTAGATTTGGAAAATCGTCCTTTGTGACCCTGATCTGAATTTGAAGCAACAGTAAATGGGCTGAACTTAAAATTATTCAAGAGAAATATGAGTAGAGATGCCGTTACTATGTAACATTGCTAAGATGAGCGAATTAGGTTATTTGATTGGACATGACTGTGGCTGGCAGCAGATCTTTCAAGGAAGAAAATAAGAAAACCCGTTATTTGTACACAATTTCACATGTTTGATCGATAGCAACACAATACATCTAGCTTTAACATTTCCAATTATAGTTTACTTACTCTACTGCACAATTTACAGATACATCCCACTAAACAATTAAAAACTCAAGGAAATATTGCGTCGCTTCGGCAGCGTACACTTCATCGCAATTCGATTTAAAGGTTTGCAGGTTCAGGATTTAATAATAATAATAACAAAGTATTTATATCCCGCTCATATTAGCAACTAGTAACCAAAAATGGTACTAGCTACTAATGTCAGAGCGGCTGTCCAAACAAAATTCTCCAACAAAAAATTCTCATTTTCCTTTAAACTGCTTATTAGTAACACTAACGTCTAAAAAACTATAATATACGACAGACATGGTGGTACAATCAGACATCAGATGGAATATACTATAAGAGAAAAATAATAATCTCGACACATAATGGTTACCTTTATTTATTCAAAAGAATTTAATTAATTGAACTTCATTATACACTCTTTCCTAGTTTTAACTCAAATCTGATGCCATTATATGAATTAGATTGTTGGTATCTTGGGTGGAATAAGGACTGCAGTTAAGTTTGGCTGTTAAATAGTAGCCGTAACAATCCCTTCACAACAGAAGCTGTCTCTTCCTGTAATCTAGATTTATAGAAAAGTTTACACATAAAATAAACATGAACAATTACTCCTTCATAAAACAAACATGAACATTTACTTTTTCCATAAAACAAACATGAACATTGAACAATAACTCCTTTATAAAACCAACAATTACTCCTTTATCCGCTTTTAACACTATAATCAATCTGTCCTATCTCCTTAATGGAAATAACATTAATTGAAACTGCATTTTTGCGGACATCATAATACAAGCTTTGATCTTGTTCGACTCTTGACCGATGTAACCAGAATCTGATTCTTCGTACAGTAAACATCCTGAAACTGGGATTAACCAAGAGGTAAATGATAGGGTTGCTCCAGGAAGACCAGTACGCAAGAGACCAAGTTAGTTCCTCAAACTCAGGTCCAGTCACTGAGCGAAATATAATTGCAGCATACATGGGAACAAACGATGCTAACAAACTAAATGTCACTAAGATAACCACCAGCAAGTTCTTTTTGTTCACATTCCTGTGACTCTTCTTCATAGCATACATGATGAGGACCAAGTTCACAATCAACAGAGAGACACAGGGTATTAGATTGCAGATAGTTACCATCACCATATTAAGTAGATATCTAAAATGACCAGCAGCGTCAGCATCAACAAATGAGATGCAGTTGTAAGAAGTCTCTATTTTATCCGGATACTCAGTGATGCTGATCCAATGGAACTTCTCCACGAACCCGTAGCAAATCCAGAGGATGGGAGCAGAGAACATAACCAGCACGAACAGTGTCACCAGACCTCGCTGGCGTCTTGAAGGGTGTAAGTTGCGGAGTGGGAACACACATCTCAGTAGCTTGTTGAAGGAGAGCAGGTTGACTAGAACCACGTTGGCGACGAAGAAAGAGAACCTGTAACTTGCGTTAACGTAACAGAAACCCCTCCCAAAAATCCACCTCTCTCGTTGTACATGGTAATGAGATTAGGGGTTAGAACCAAGACACAGTTCCCAATGTCTGCCACTGACAGGTTCTTGATGATCCAGACGGACATTCTGTCGAGCTTGATGACGTTGTGGACGGTTGAGGCGTACAGGACGAACAGGTTCCCAGACACTCCCAAAATAAGGGACATTTGTCCGGACACGATCTGGATCCAGTTGACATAAGTCTGTGACATGACGGGCCTGTTGAAACTTAATAGTAAATTGACGATCGAATATAAGTTTATTTTAAAGTTGTTTCTCATACACAGTAATGACCGAATTAAGTGGCCAAATATTAGACTGGAATGATAAATCTGTTATCATTATATTTTTAAAGAACTAAACACATATTTTAAAAACTGATTATGATGTATTAATATATCATAAATGAGTCCATTAGACTTAAAGACACTCCCCTTACGAGGGGCTAGTCAGGCGGTAGTGGACTGTTGAGATTCGTCGCGCCTAAATACTTGCGACAAATGCAATTATATGTCAGCCAAGGTCAATCTTACATTCAAATAACAATATAAAATTACCAAAGATGGTCATACATGTTAAGATCGGTTATCAGTTATAACTGATATATTATGCGAAGATCAAAGTTAAGACCTTGTCTGTAGTACCATAGGTGTATCAAGCAAGTAATATTTATGTAATACTATAGAAATTTGGACACTTTAACTTTTTGGGGGCGAAATTGGAGAGAAATTAATTATTTAACGATTCATTATTATCCGAATAGACATGAGTTGGACCCAATTAGGAACCGGCCGGATATCCGGCTTTTATATCCGGATTTTGGGCTGACGGACAACTAGGAACCTTTCAATTTTACCTAGTTAACTAATTAACATGCAAGCTTGGGAAATCCAATCAGCTCCGACAACTAGGAACCAATCATGACATATCCCCGACAACTAGGAACCTCTGGTGATACTTTAAGCAGTCCACCGATTTCACAGCTGTGCTGTATATATTTCTGTCCGGGGAATAGTGATTTCTGTCCGGGGAATAGTGATTCCAGAACGTCAAAGGAAACCTGGGAGGAACCCTTTCCTCACTGGACAATGCTGGTCAAAATAGAACTTCACCACATTAAAAATATACTGATAAGTGTCCCCTTTCTTATCTCCAGTCAAAATATAAATCATCGGCAAACATTTCTGGTCAATAACAGCATGAATCGTATAGCTCTGGGTGAATATATTCGGGGCGACGTAAAACGTGCCGTCTGCAATCCAGTTGTTGTACTCTGCCAGCGTAGCAAGGTTCCGGGCTGTAGAGAAGGCAACGACTCGTACGTTCCGATCTGTCTTTCCGTCGAAGAGAACAATGTGCTCGTCCCGTCTCGTGGAGGTGCAGGTAGAGGGGAGAATGAATTCTTCTGAGGTCTTCGCTTCAGAGTGCTGTGCAGATCCGGACGCCTTGGCTCTACTGCGTTGTACCACCCGAGCGAGGGATTCCATGTTTGGTGGCGTCTGATTAGCTTCTGAGGTTGAATCTGCTAGGACTTCAGAGAGGAGGTTCTGGGTCACCGACAAGGGCTGTTCAGCAGCTTTCCGCATGCTCGGCTCACATCCTTGGATACGAGAACCAGCCCCTTTCGGACCCGGCTCACGTCCGTAATGTGAACACATACCGAGAGCTCAAACACTTCTTAATATACTTCATAATACACAGCTACTTACTAAACTGTCATGTGAACCCTACCCAGGTTCTTGGTTGTCCGGCTGTTAGGATGGTTATAATATGGATCACATCACAAATGATACGTCACTGATTGGGCCATGTGATGTGATACCTGTGGGAGGCCGAAATGAGAGGTTCCTAGTTGTCGGTCACCGGGATTTTGTATCCGGTTCCGGTCCGGTTTCTAAGAATTTGGCCGGCTATTCAACCGAAAATTTCTTTTTTAAATGTTCCTGAAATGCATATTTTTGTCTAAATTCTTTCTAATGGGCATCCAGTCAGTGCTCTCAGTGACCAGTGAATTTACGGTAACTTGTTATCTGTCTGCGAATGTTATAGACCCGTTCATGTGAGATTTTGTGTAACACAAAGAGTCAAACCAATTACCAAGAACAATGATGCTTTATTCATGAGCATTGCAAGCAGAGGGTTCCTTCTTTAATGTGGCAAGCAAACCCATTACTAACTCCCCTTATACTAAAGATTGAAAACAAAGGAAATTATGCTATTAACAAATTATGGACATTATCCTCGGTTATATCGACGCCACGAACTTGTGTGGGAAAGCTGGATTTTGGGCTTTGCTTCTAAAACAATTTCTACATTTGTGCTACGCAAAACGTAGTGAATTCTTGAAATGTACCTTTTGATTTTATTCCAACTCGTTTCTAGCTCAGCTCTGCTCATAGTCATACAACAGATCAATCAGTGACCGTTGCACTGTTTGCACAACATATCAACCAGTGACTGCTGCTCGCAGTGCGGAAATTTGTTGAAATTTGAGATAGGGCATGAACACAGTTTATAATCGGACTGTAAGTTTCTTTTTGTATTGTTTCTTCTTATTGCGTCCACATGGCTTTTAATATTATAATCGATAAAACCCCATAATGAAGTATTCATTTCACTTTTTTCCGGCAACTTCCGGCAGCCTCAAATTTCCTCTTTTTATTACCCGCTTCCGGCACGGCAAAATCCGGCAAACCGGAAAATAGATTGATATCCGATCGTTTCCTAGTCGTTTCCTAATCAATAAGAATTAAACAACATAAGCTCGCCGAGAAGTATAGTGTAAAATAAGGTTGGCAACCAGAACAGTCCTCCCGGGGCGTACCAATGGTCAACACTGCCTGCTCACAAAGGTACGGTAACGAAGTGGCGTACTCGGGTAATTAAAGTGTACGAGGGCACAATAGAGAAGTGTCGTACACGGTACTTAAAATATATACGGGTACGATATTGAAGTATCGTACACGGTACTTAAAGAAATATACGGGTACGATATCGAAGTCTCGTACACGAATACCTGCAAATCTCTAGCTCTCAAGCTCTGCAATTTCACTTTAGCTCTTACTGGCTACTGAGT